CAGAAGGCAACCAATTGCAAAATACCTTCAGCTACACAGGCAAACAGAAGTGAAGACGCTAGTTGTCTGATGCAATACTTTCCTTCGCTTACAACAGTTGTCTGATGCAATACTTTCCTCCACTTACAACAGTTATCTGATGAAATCTGTTCCTCACCTTACAACACAAGTTGGCAAAAAAAAGGAAACTGTCACCAATGGAATCTGATGCAAATATCTAAATATTACCATAACGTAGTAAATAATTAACTCAATGTGACCTCATCACACCGATGTTTTTATTTTTTTGTGTCATCAGAATTTTAATTCATTTAGTAGATTAAGGACACCATTTTAATCCTGCTGTTTAATTGAACTGCCACACCTTGTCACAATGCGTTCTTTCTCTGTACTCGCTCATCCACGGATAAAGTTTACTGTTTTAATTAGCATTTCAATAATATTATCCACTTGCAAACGTTTGGCACAAAATACCTCTTGATGAATATATATGCAAAAATGTATAGTACCGAAATTTTTCTGAAAATTTTCTTTTCCACTGTATTTCTTACTTTTACTGTTACTCCATTTTTACCAACCATAGCAGCTGCACCATTAATTGCAAATTCAGTCATTTTTTATCCCAATTAAACTTCTGGCCATCCAAAATAACCCATGAAGAAGAGCAAGAGTTATCAATGCCAAATTTATTTTAGGAATTACACTTAATATCAATGTTAATTGGTTTGAAATACAGCCTTCTTTCAGGTGAGGGAGATGATAAAATAAGTAATGCTGGTTTCCTCTATGTTTGTCAATAACCACTGCTACATGCAGTGGCACTAAGTGAAAGAGGCTTTGGATGAGTTGCTGGGGAATGGCAGGCCATGTTACCTTCACACGTAGATAAAATTTATTACGCGCACCCACAGGTGCAGCATGCTAGGCTAGGCATTCTCCAGTATTTGACCAGTCATGTTCAGTGGTTGATAGATCTGGAGAACAGGCAGGCCAAGGTAACAATACATTATGGTAGGCTAAGAAGAAAGCTTGAACATTACCTACAATGTGCGGTCGTGCATAGGCCTGTTGAAATATGATTGCAGGCAAGCCCTGAAGGTAAGGAAGGAGAACAGGATACAAAACCTCAGAGCTATATCATTGGTTTGTAAGTGTACTGATAATGCATACTAGGGGGTGAGGGAATGGAATCCAATACCACCCTACACCATAACACTAGGTACGAGACCGATATCACAATGTATAACACAACAGTCGAGCAGTCTCTCTTCACAATGCCTCCAAACTCTAATCTGACCATTGTGGTACTGCAAGCAGAAGCATGATATGTCTGAAAACCCGCCATGCCATTCGGATGTCTATCTGTGTATTCATTGCAAACACAAACACATGTGGTTTAAAGGTAAGAGAAGCAATGCCATTATATTGCAAATGACGTCAAATTCATGCAAACATTGATTGTTGTGTTACAGACTGCATTCGTTGTGATGCGGTTGTAGATGTCGAAGTTTCACTCCATCAGTGAGAAGGCCAGAATATACCTATCTCCTCATGGACTGGTGCAATAAGGCAGTTGCAATTGCTCCTGTCATTAGTTATCCCCTCCTGCATCCACAAATTCCATATTGGTGTTACTGTTTCCTTGCTACATCTGACATGATGACCAATTTCTCAGAAAGATAATCTGCAATCTCTGTATGCAAAGATTCTACCTCGATTGAACTTGGAAATGTCCTCGATTGATGCTCGTTTTTTTCTATGAGGCATACTGAAACTGCACTCTGTAAAAAATCTCACGAAAAAACAATTTATGTTATTAAAAAAGCAATCTTTATATATATATATATATCCCTTTATATGTGGATTGTAAGGAGTGCTGCAGTCACTCATGATGTGCTCATTCACTGAAATCATAATTATTTGCATATTCCATCGCAGTGTACATATGATGCAAATTTCATGCTGCTTGAATGCTTCCTTCATGGTGTTGCATTTTGGATGGGCAGCAGTTTATTTATATTTCTCTATTACAGTTTTCATTTCAGAAAAAATATCTTCTACAACAGTTTTTTCTTTCAAAGGAATTATTCCCAATAATTTCTCATGTATTACAAAGTCATCAGTAACACTTCGTACAAAATGGTAAATTATGCTATAACTGCTATATTAGTTTTTCTCATCAACTGCGATTGAGAATGCTGCAAAATCTACCGTTTTTAGTTTTTAAGTGACATTATAAATTGCCAGTGATGTTGTTAATATGTTTTGCTATCATATTGCTGAAAAAATGTGTTTTTGTTGGAAGAAAGAAGGTCTGTTGAGTTAATCAAACAATTTTAAGTAGTTTTACAGCATATGGTTTTGATCATTTTGCAATGATGCAGGAAAGAACAAAACTTATGAGACTGTTGCTTCACTGGATTTCTTTGCTTCAATTAAAAATTTTGTTGTCATAGCAAGACATTTCAGAAACTGCTGCTTTTCTTCATTCAATTATTCTTCTAACTTTAGAAATTTACTTTCTGATTTTGTTTGTAATGGCAACATAAACTGCATTAGGATATATTCCCATATTAAAAATAAAACATATGATTTCATTGTGCATAGCCTCACCAAAGTACATGATTTATCTTGAAAAACACATCCATCTTTGTTCACTTTTCTTTTATTTTTTGTTAAAGATATTGATTGCTGTATATCTCTTAATTAGAATCATTATTATAATTTTATTTAAAAATTTAATTCAACTAGGTGAATTTTCATTTGAAAGCAATGTTTGCAGTTATCATTTCAAACCTCTGCGTAGAAAATAAATGAGTTTGAAAATTAAAGCTCTAGTCAAAATGTTGCCAAAAAATTATCATTGCAGCGTTTTTACTAACTAGTGAAGAGTGTATATTGGTATTGTTTTGCACATTCTCACATTTGAAAATAATAAACAAAGCTCTCCAACACCCATAAGTATTGAGCTAGTGTTCAAAAATACTATATTGATAAATATTTTTACTTTTTAAAGACTTACTTATCAAAAGACTTTTAGCCTGGGTATCCTTTAAATAAAATACTTATATCCAATGTTATAAATGTAATTTGAAATTTTTTGTTACTCATTACATTATGAAACAAATTTTAAGTGCAAGGATTCAGTGCAGAGAGATCATGTACCATGTTCTTCAAAGTTCTTACCCTGCCTTTATTTTTTGTAGCTGTTGGTTTTGTCCTGGGTATCCTTTAAATAAAATACTTATATCCGATATTATAAATGTAATTTGAAATTTTTTATTACTCATTACATTGTGAAACAAATTTTATGTGCAAGAATTCAGTGCTGAGAGATCATGTACTGTGTCCTCTAAAGTTCTTACCCCGCCTTTGTTTTTGTAGCTGTTGGTCATAGACCATATACTTCCAGTTACAAAAATATTTTAAATGATGCAAATATTCATGTTTGGGCAATTTTAAAGATGCCAGTTTTGTAAAAACCATGAAATCTAACTTTTTATAGGTTCCTCCAGTGCCTATTTTCACATTCAGAAATATTTTGTACTTATTATAGGGAATAAAACACAAATAGTGTGACTCTAGTAGGACAAAAATTGACCAAGATATTTCATTTCAAAATTTTGCGATTTTTGACGTCATTTTCAGTTTGCATTGAATGGTATAGTAATAAATAAATTAAAATATTTCAAAGTTGATTTTTTTATTTTGTGATTTAATAGTGTTTTCAATTTATAATATTTTTTACATTTGCTGAAAGAAGTTTGGGACAATAATTTTTAAGTTTTCAAAATTTAAAAATTCATTATTAGTACTCTTTTGAACTATTATTATTTTAGAATCAGAATCTGTGAATCATGCAAAGAAATTCGTTATAGTACAAATATTTTTTATTTTTATTGAAAGTAAACTATGCTATAAATTGGCTACTTACCAATATTGAAACCTGCCAGTATTTTCTACAATATGGATTTTATAAGAGTCTGTAAACAAAATCGCTTTTAAAAATATTTTTGATGATCAATAGTTTTCACAATAATCTGTGTAGAAATGCTCACCATTCTTTTAACATCAGGAAAGTTTTTCTAAATTAATATTTTAATTTTAGTTATATATGAATGCAATTATTTTGATTTTCAATTTGCTTGTGGCCACTTTCTGTGATCTTTGATTTCAATATAAAATATTTCGGTAAATTTTTGTCATATGGAAGTCACACTTTTTGCATTTTATTTTTTATAATCAGTGCAAAATTTTCCTGAATGTAAGTACAGGGACTGGAGGAACAAATAAAAACTTGGATTATAATATTTATAAAATTGATTTCTTTAAATTTAAAATTGCCAAAACATGAATATTTACTTCATTTGAAGCATTTTTTGAACTGGAACAATGTGTCTACAACCAACGATTATGAAGGTAAAGGCTGAGTAAGCATTTCTGTGGAACATAGTGTATTACATTGCTACCAAATTTCTATATACAGTGCCACCACCATTATCTATGAGATCACGCATCATAATTCTTGTCTCATGTCACAGTTTGTTATGAGTAGATATTAATTTGTCTTTATTCTTGAAAATCCAATGAATTTAAGGCATTTCAGTCTTTTTAATTATAAATGCATAACGATTTTATGGGAAATCTACCTTAAGTTTGATTGCTGATATAAATCCCACTGTATTATATTGTGCTTGGTAATATAATTAGGATATTTTAAATTAAAAAGTTTTTCACATTGAAATTATTGATGCATGTATGTCATCTTTTGTTGATAAATTTCTAGTGTGTTTCAAATATCTTCACTGCAGTTTGTGAGAAGGAAGGAATTTTTTTTTTTAAAATTATTAATTTTTCCTTTAAGAGAAATTTTTATTAAGGCTTTTCCAACAAATCTGATTGAAATATTGATCAGTTTTCTGTAAATTCTAGAAATATAATTCTTTATTCAAATCTGATACATTTTTAAACTGTGCTTTTTTTTTATGGCATTCTTCAAGCTGAAGATAATGAGTGGGATCTTTCATCATCTGAATTTGAAAACAAATCTGGGCAGCACAAAAAAATACCCGAATTTTGCAGAAGACATGTTAAACCTAAAAAGCAGCATGAAATATTCCGCATGGGACAGGTAATTCTGGTGTTTTTAGGTTTTGATTTTTTAATATATACACTGGTGGACAGTTGTAAGGATGGATCACAAACACCTATATGGCACATTAAAATGTGTGTTTGGATGCCAAGTGAAATAAAATAAGCCACAATACTAGGACATAGCAATAAAGATAATTTACTGTGCTCTGAATTCTAGAAGGCTTTGAAAAGGGTTGAAGGGACAAAATAGTCATATTGTGCTAAACACGTAAAAGTGAAAAAAATGCTATTACCGTCCGCAGGCATTCTGGTATAAAATATCAGTTCAGGGTATTGTCACCATTAAGGGGATGTAAGATTCCACACTTCATGTCATACTTTGCAGAATGTTATCCAACAGCTATTGGAGTAATTTATTCCATTCCTCCGTCAGTGCACAGATGAGAGTGTACTTGTTCATTAGAGGGCATTATCAACCAGCAAGACTCCTCCCCAAAACATCCAAAACATTATCAGTGGAATTCAGATCTGTAGGACGTGCTGGCTATGCAAGTTGTTGAATATCCTCACTCTCTAGACACTCTTGGCAGCATTGTTCGATTACATGTTGTGTTGTCATCCATGAAAACATATTTATCTCTGACAGCACCATGAAACATGTGAACACGAGGCAGCAGAACATTATTAATGTGTCGTTGGCTAGCCATAGCCCCAGTTGCAACCACATGTAGGGGCTTGTGACCATTGATCATAGTGTCAGCCCATATCATGATAATGCATCACAGATATCACACCTTTCCTGGATATTTTCTGGACGATAAGCAGTACCACTCTCATGCCAGATCAGTTGGGATCTATAATTCGGTAACAGACTGAACCTACTTGCATCTAATCATAGTACACAAACCCAGTTCTGTTGAATCCTATTACGATGCTTGTGATACCATTGCAAACAGGTGGTACGTTGCTGTCTGGACAATGGAATGCATACTACAGGATGGTGGGCGTATAGCTGTCTTTGATGCAAATGTCAGGCTACAGTTTTTCAGGATATTCACTTGCCAGCAGCAGCAAGTATAGCTCTGCTGCAATGTTTCTTTTTGTCAGTAGCACTATGCACACTGCAAAAAGGGGAAAAAAAAAAAGAAAAAAGTGGGACAGTTCTATATCTTCCATTTGGTAAAAATATATTTTAGGGTACACCTTGGCGAAACTTGGCGATTTTTGGCGGTACATGGATACCGAGTTTGTGCAATGCTTTGACTTGTTATTTTGGCCTGTGTAGCGGCGATTTTTGGCAAAAAAATTGCCGCTGCACAAGCCAAAATAACAAGTCAAAGCATTGCACAAACTCGGTATACATGTACTCATCAACCTATTTCCACTTAAAAAAAATCTCCGAATTGCACAAAAATAACATATTGCTCTCCCTTGACTTTATCCATGTACACATCGACCTATTTTCACTTAAAAAGAAATCCTCGAATTGCACAAACTGTGCTTTACGCACTCTCTTGAGATTGTTCATGTACACATCGATATATTTTCACTTAAAAAGTCAAAGGAGCACCCAATTCTACAGTAGAGGCAAACAAAAAATACATAATCTCAATAAGCTACATTTTAAACCAAACAATAAAATAACACAAAAAAGGAAAAACCTGTTATGTATTTTAGCACTACACAAAGCATAAATCCCCTTACCTTATTTAGAAATTCGTTCATCTTCAGTCTGTGGCACACAAAATTCCTTAACAGCATCCAAAAACTTCTTAAAATTATCTGAACTAGAATCCGTATATTGGCGTCGCCACATAAATTCACAAAAATAAGAGTAAAAAATATCCTACATATTCCGGATTGTCCAGAAAATGGCTACTAAGTGAACCTTCATTTACACACCAGTCAATTAATGCACTTTTCCCCTTTCATCCCACGTCATAATAGGGTTTCCATAGCGTTCAACTACTCAGGTTACCATAAATGACACAACTTGATGAAAAATGAAACAGCAACTTGTCGATAAATGAAACAACAACTTCGTGATAATACAAGAGGTACCTTAAAGTCAACTGTACCCCTTCCATTCTACTGGGCCAGTTGACAAAATTCAAATTGTGTTTTCCATGTTTTGAAAATGCAACTTAGGCTGTATATTATATTTATATATACCATTTTTCTAACATAGGTATTTTGTTACAAAACCGGGCTTTTTCTGAAATGACATGCCAATTTTTTTCTGCATTTTGACTCTACAACTCAGATTATGCCCAAATGCCAAGTTTTGTAAAAATTGCACGAATAGTTTTTGAAAAATTAGCTCTGAAAATTTTAGCTCCTCGATGTTACTTGAATTTGATATATATTTATTAATATCTCTTTTTTTTTTTAAAAATTAAATTTACTTGATTTCTTTTTTCCTTTTTCCAGAATTTGAAATTTAGGCTTAATCCAAACATAATTTGCCCATTTTTTTAAGATTTATTTTTAAAATTTGTATTTAAAAATAATTTTTATAAATTTTTTGAAAAAAAAATTGAATTATAATCTATAAAAGTTTTACTATCATCTTAAAGTCGATGCATTTCTAACCATACCTGAAAGAATTTCTAACCATACCTGAAAGTTTTTATTCAAAATTTCCTAAGGTATATGTGAATTTACATACTGGTGCGTTTTGAAATTTGGCATATTTGTTATAAACGATAATAACACCAAACATGGTTTACACATTTTGTTAAAATTATTTGAAAGTAGGAATAACGACTTTTTTTTTCCTTCTCGTGTTCAATGAAAAAAAGGAAAGGAAGGTTAGTTACTATAAATAAAAAGGTTTGCCAAGTAAATTATTCTTGGTGCAAACTGAAAAAAAAAAAAATGCGGCAAGATAAATTTTTGAATTCGTAAATTTTGCACCAAATTTGAGAAAATTTAATATTTATTTAGACAGAATTGAGTTGTAGAATCAAAATATGGAAAAAAAATTGCATATCATTTCAGAAAAAGTCCGTTTTTTGTGTCAAAATACCGGGCCCACCAGCGGCCAAGCGGTAAAATCGCTGAACACTGGTAGTTTGGTCCAAGGTTCGAATTCTGCGAACGGGCTGGCTGCATAGGCGTTTTCGTGGTTTTCCCCATGTGTAACGTGTATATGAGCCAGTTTCCCTCATAAAGTCCTCCATGAAGGCATCCCTCCCCTTAGGCAGATAGCCCTCGAGGCTTTGCCGTAATCACACACACACAGTGTCAAAATACCTATGTTAGAATAATGCTATATATAAATCTAATATATATCCTAAGTTGCACTTTCGAGACATGAAAAACACAATTTGAATTTCATCAGTCGGCCCATCGGCCCATTAGAGCAGGAGATATAGAACTGCCCTCCCCCTTTTTTTTTTTCGCAGTGAACCTATCTTCTGCATGAACTTCTTCTGCATATCTTCTGTATGAACTTCTCCTGTGACATTTACTACACATTCCATTTGTTTGAAATGATTTCTGAAGCCTTGAAACAACACTGTCGCTAATGTCGAACTCCCTAGCAAAAGCTCTTAATTTTTCACCTCCTTCAATCTTGCCAATCCTCAATCCGGTTATGCACAAAATCATCTAAGGGATGCTAGGAAGACATACTGAAAATTGTTCAAGTTCTTCAATTGATTCTTTTTTGTTAAATTTTGCTTTTGAACAAGAAAGATCAATATGCATCAAATCCTTTATCTCTTTTTATCAACATCATGTGATGAACAACTTCGGGAATCGAAAATTTGCTGGTGCACAACACGTCTTATTGTATCCCACACTTATTCTAATTTCCACATTTTCCTGCCTTCCATTTTGTAGTTGCTATCACTGCTACTGTCGGGCTGGCTGCATGGGTGTTTTCGTGGTTTTCCCCATGTGTAACATGTATACAAGCCAGTTTCCCTTAGAAAGTCCTCCACGAAGGCATCCCTCCCCTTAGGCAGATAGCCCTGGTGTGTTTTGCCATAATTAAATGCACCACCACCACTGCTACTGTCATCTGTCCTCAGCAGTTGTCCACCAGTGTACTTATCTATGAAAGTACTAATGTGTCATTTTATTTTCACCACTCTTTGTTGTAAACTTACTTTTTCAATTACACAAATGTTCTGTATTAGACAAATATTCATGTTTTGTTTTGAAAAGCTCCAGATTGATTCAAGGTGTCAATTTTGAATTGTAAGTGATTTTGAATTAGAAATATTACATTGGCATCCAAAATTAAGCGGCAGTAAATTGTAATTAATAAATTCAAGCTGAGTTTTTATTAAAAGAAAAATAACTTGTTGGAAACATAAACATTTATGAATAAATAATAGTATCTTCTTTACCAGTTCAGTAAAAATAAAATACAGTATGATATCTGGTACTGTGATTTTGGCGATTCCTGATTTCAGTGATTTCTGGATTTTAGATCATTAGTTTAATTCAAGCAAGATAGCATTTAGACTTTGTAACACTGGAACTTCACTTATTGTTTAGGTCAGATAGAATGCTAATCTCTGGCAGAGCTGGCACCAGAACAGATGTACTTTATAATGGTGTCAGAATTAAAGACGACACAAATTTTAAAATTTAGAGAAGCACCAAGCAGTACAAATTGGGAAATGGCTAGATTTTTAGAATTTAGGAGAGGCAGTGGACTGTAGACTTTAGCAAAGTTTATAGAATTTAGGGAGGTACTGAGCAGCAGAATTTAGGACCCACTGAGATTGAAAGAGGAGGCAAAATGTGGGGCATTTCTCCCACCTCTGTTACTGGAGGACCGTTAATGTGATCCTGGTTAAAAGCGATCATATTATTGGCCATCTCTAGCAGGTGTTTGAAAGTGACTTGAAGGAATCTCAGTTAGTCCGGAGAAAAATCGCATTTATGGCATACCTTCTACCTTTTGTTATTATATTCTCTACTTTTAGACTTTGCAACAGGGTGGAAGGGGTTATGTTTCTAGCTTGTGGTCTAGTAGTCTGGATAGGAGACCATTCAGGATATTGGATGTCCAAATTTTGGATTTTATACCTAAGGAAACAAGAAATTGCATCACCTCCATTATTTAATATTTTGTCTACTGTAATAGAAAGACACATTTCACAGCGTCTTTCCATGTTAGTGAAGTCATTTAGGATCAAACAGTATTTTCTTTTAAGATAGTAGATCAAAGTTTTGCTTCCAAGAAGGAAATTGATGTGCCACAACTCACTAAATTAAAACATTGCAGACAAGCTGAATAGGATTAAGGTTAGGTGAGTCAATACCAAATACGTTCGAATAGTGTACTAATTTTAATGATACTCTGTCACAAGTGCTTCTGCTAAATTTTGTCTTACTTTCATCGCACACTGAAGCAGTTAAGCCTGAATTATATTAATTTAGGTATTTATTATAACTGTGTTTATTTTTTGCACATGCTTAAGGCTTATCCGAGCCCTGAGTGAATAAATTTGCACATGTACTTAAGGCAATCGGGCCTTATTGCTAGATATCTTACTACCTGATGCAGTCTCTGGAGGTCCTAAATTCTGCTATCCAGCACCTTCCAAGTTCTAAATTTCTGCTGCCCTTAAATTTATGGGTATAACAGAGAAAGCGCATACAATAGAAAAAGTTCCGCTCGCTGAGAAGATGATTGAAACAAAGAAGAACGAATAATATTGAGCCTAACACTCTTCATCATTTTTCAGAAAGAAACGGCTTTATACAAATGGATGATTATCGAAGGAAAAAATAAATTCATGGAAAAACTTTTGTACAGATAACACCATTACATATGATATTTACCACAAGATTGTAATGGATAAGCTTTACAAACCTTCGCATTATTTTAAATCGGCGGCTTGTGGGAGGGGTCATGTGGCCCCTCACCCTTCCCCATACCATTTTGGGATGCTGTAGACAAGGGAGACACAGTGCTATACCAATTAACCACTGTGGTAAGAGGGGTGGTGCTCATATTCTCCATCACTTGTCCCTAAATTTTGGGTTCCAGTGCCTTCCCTAAATTCCAAAAATTTTGTCATCCCTTAATTTTGCTGCTCCATGCTTCTCTAAAATTAAAAAAACTTCTCTTTCTTACATTTTGGCATCTGGTGCGGCCATATGAGCTCTGCACAGGTTCTGGGTTTATGTGAATAACAAATCAGTTATTTTTTATTCAAATAGTACTAAATGTAAACTTTTGGTCTATGAGTATTCTTAACAAAATCTGTTTCTAGCATGTGGAAAGAAATTTTTGTTAAATTTTTTCTCGTCAACATTTCTTAATGCATTTAACTTAAATCTGTAATCATTGGCAAGTGTAATGTCAACATAAAAGGTTACTATATTCTATTCTTTGATATTCAATTACTAATATAAAAAATATTTAGGCATCATTGCATAAGTCACTACTCAAGTTATAACGTGTTGATAAACATGTGGTGATGAAAGCAAAATGTAATAATGGTTTGCCAGATTGTGTCAGGGATGTAAAATATTAGTAGTGTAAGATCAACGATGTTTCTATGTAGACTGTTTCGGTTTGAGATATATGCCAAGCAGAAACACAGCTGTGATCATACAAATTTTTGCTAAAATGAATGTTTCTTGAATAACGAGGTATTTTATTTAGGGAAGCAAATTTATTTTATGAAGTTTATTTTATGAAGCAAAGTGAAATTAAGAATCGGAACCCTCCACATATTTTATTATGTGTGGGAAAAAATCAAATGCGCATGTGTAAAGCATTAAAAAAAATGTTGTTGGGTGGCTTTAAGGTCCATATTTTAGATCATTCCAGATATTGGACGTTCAGATCTTGGACTTTGTACAGTACCAAGTTTAGTGTGGCTGTTTCCCATGATGCCTTTCCAAACAAGGAAATCTGCAAAATCCAGTAAAACGTGATTTTTTTATTGGATTATTTTACGGATAATTTTAATCCATTGTTGTATTGGTTTATTTATGGGATTTATCTACAAAATCTAATAAAATATTGGCTTTTTTTATTTTTTAAAAATGTTTTTACCTTCTGTCGCAAGTGCCTTTCAAATTTCATTTCTGAAAACCAGTATTTGGTTGACCAGAAAAAGTAACAAACAGTTACACAGAAAATGATACTTGAAAATATTGTTCATGTCATCATTTGTTTATTTATGACAGTGGATGCATTCATATTTAAATAGCTAATGTTGCACTCATGGTTTTGAAAATATTATGTAATGGATATATAATATTAAGAGAAATCTACTTTACATGCATAATTTATTTGCCTGAATTTCTTTCAAATTTGACATTAACTAATAATTATTTAATTCAATTAGAATATTAATTTGTCACATAATAATTAACATTTGTTTAAATAAATTAATGTTATCAATTTGACTTGATACAGTCAAAAGTCGTTAATTCGGACACCCATAATCCGGACCTCAAAGCTAAAAACATTCTGCGCATGCGCCGACTTGACACATGTGCATAGGCATTTATTTACACGTGCGCGTAAGACCTTCACGACTGCACATAAGCGTGTGCGCAAGCGCAGAATACGTTTTTGCGTGCGCGTTTAATTATAACGGACGGTATAAGCTAAAATTATCTAATTATCTATTTCAGTTAATGTTGATGGATTGCGTTGTTCCTTAATCTTTGAATTGGATGCAGCTTATTATTTTTTGCAGACTTTAAGAGCAATGTTATAAAAGTAAACTTGAACTTTCGATTATGTCAAATAGAATTTCCGATGCTGGAGCTCCCAAAAGATCTGCAAAACGAAAGTATGTTTCGATGTCCATGAAACAAAAAGTGGAATTGCTGCAAAAAATGGATAAAGACATGAAGAAGATGACAGAGAGGTTAGTGAAAACGAAAAAATTTCGATTGACAAGTTAGTCGGTATTCTCGGCACAGCAATTACGGGACTTGAACAGCGAAACTTTGTAACTGAACAAGAAATTATGTCTGTTTATAGAATTAAAGAGAAAGTATTATCACATAAAAACAACGAAGCAACTTAAACGACTTACATTGAAAGAAATGTTTAATAAAGTAAACAAATAAATATTAAGCTTTCTTTTTGTAAATTTTGACACCCTTTAGATCATAATTGTTCTTTATTTCATAAATTCCCCTTTCATATTTTTAATTTTAGAATTTCTGCATGCCATCTTACGAGATTTAAACTGATGATCTATAATCCGGAAAAATCGATAATTCGGAATCGCCGAAGTCCCGACGAGTCCGGATTAACGACTTTTGACTGTATTTCTTTTTAATAATTTTCTTGAAATTTGCCTCATATGTTAACAGTATCTTTTCTTGATGAAGCTCAAATTTTTTTGATTGAAAGATCAGGTAATGAAAGCTTAACTAAAAGTTCAGATTAATTTATTAATTTTTCAATTGCTTCCTGTAACTGTACTCTGTATTTTAAATTAATAATCCATAAATGCTCTTCATTTGCTAGGTGGCCAACACTGTTTCATGTGCCTTTGATATAAATCATGTTGTAGACATTGGCTCCGGTCAAGGCCATCTCTCAAGGCTGCTTGCATTATGTTATAACTTAAATGTAGCTACTATTGAAGCAAAGGAGGATCATGTGTCTGGTGCCATGAATTTTGATCAACAGGTAAAGTTAGTGTAAATGCACTTGAGTTTTACTTTGACTATTGTAATTATGGAATTGAATTAAATAATATGCACCTACTTTCTGTTCCCCCTATTAAAGGAAATACTTTCATTGATATAGCCTTTAATACAATTATGTGTAGCATGGAGGTTGAAATAAAAGGTGATGCCATCCTCACAGCTTTAGACCATTATCTATTGGTTTTGGATTTGTGTTAATTTCTTCTTAAATGCTTTATATATATTTTTTCACTACATTTTTTGAAATATATAGTTTTTTTAAATGTTATTTGCTTGTTAATATACTTTGAGAGCTGTTGTGTCGCTAAATCTGTATGCATTTTACACATTTAAACGAGGAATTCTCTTAATTTTAGTTTGGCATTTTTCTTAGTTATGGAGATTTGCTTCAGTTTAATTTCAGTGTTTATGAATACCATATAATACTTCTGCTGATAAGACGAACTTCAGATAAGATCAGGTATAAATTTTCATCAAGGTTTTATAGTTATTGCATATATCTGTCCTATAAGATGATTGTTAAACTATCAATGGCCTATGAATTTAGTTTAGATCAGCTGAAACATCTGGATCATCTGGAACAACTTTTATTTCATAACACTGCCTGTAGAAGCACATGCTAAATCACAAACTCATATATACTTCTAACAACTTTCATTATAAGTTGTAGCATGTATTTAAACAATTTGCACTATAAGTGTAATCAGTGTAAAATTTGTACATTGTGGACCTAATCATGAAGCCAATGAAAGGAAGGAAATATGAACCAAGCTTCAAGTTAAAAATTCATAAAACAGGTTAAACAACTGTCCTTCAAGAAGGCTTTTTAATATATAACAGAATATATTCAATGATTGGAGAATGAATGAAGATTCTATTAAAAAATGCCAATGAAAAAATGTTCTGTGTCGAGAGAATTAGCTTGCTGGCCAGATTTAGAAATTAATGTTTCAGATCGAGTACAAGAATAGAGAGCAGGATTGTTATGTTGTTACAAGAAATCTGGTTGTTGCTTATTGATTGAAGTGGGCTTGGATAAATTCAGAACAAGGCAAAGACTTTAAAGCAACATTAGGTTGATGCAGTCATTTCATGAATAGAAAAATGTCTGGTAATATGACAGAAAACAAAAATTGCCTAGAAATAACCACAGTATTTTGACCATAAAGTCACAAAATTTTGACAGGGGTTTGAAGTTTGTTATTGGTATGAGGCAAAAATACAACTTTCCATTATCTAATATTTGAAATGTAGATGAAACACCAGTGAATGTCAACTTGATAAATAGTAGAACTGGGGAAACAAAAGGCATAAAACCTGTTCGTGTCAAAAGTGCAAGCCACGCACACACACACACAAACAACAACAACAACAAAAAAAAAAAACAGGTTTACAATAGTATTCACATGAATGGCAGATGGAACAAAGTTAAAGCCCATGGTAATTTTCAAGAGGAAAATCATTCCTAAAATAATATTCCCACCAGGCATTTTCATATATTTTCATAGAAAGGGGTGGATGGATAAGAATGATGCAAAATTGTAGATGGGAAATGTGCGGCAGAGATGACCGGGTGTTCACAAAATAACACTTTGTTGGTGTAGGATATGTTTCACAGTCACATAATTCAGAATGCTAAAAAACGCATAGCGCGGAGCAATACTAAGATTTCTGTTATATCCGGTGGTTTAACTTTGATGTTACAACCTTTAGACATTTCTCTGAATAAACCATTCTAAGAATCACATGCGTGAACAATTGAATGCCTGGATGATAAGTGGTGAAAAGTCACATACAAAAGGTGGAAGTGTGCGTGCTGCATTATTTCATGTGGTTATGTGGTTTCATAATCAAATCATGGGAAAAAGTGAAAGTGAAAACAGTGATCAAATCCTTCAGAATTGTGAGATTTCGAATGCTGTGGATGAGACTAAGGATGATTTGTTGTGGGATACTGCTAACAAAGTGGAAATCAACTTAGAATGGGTCCCACATGATGAGCTTTTCAACATTGAAAATACTTGGAGTTATTTGCCTTAGATGAAGAATATGAGGAATTTTCAGGGTTTTTAAATACATTGATGAGTGATTTGTTGCATTTTGTAATGGTTTCAATTTATATAAATTTCATTTTTTTTTTTTTTTTTTTTTTAAATTTGTCCTTAGATGACCCTGGATTTAGGAAGCCCAGTTTTATGATTCAGTTATAATATATATGTGGAAATGCATGGTGTTTGATCTTGTGTAACATGGATATGTGAGATAATCTTAAATTAAGTACAGGAGGGACTTCCAGAATTTATTCAGGTATCTGAATATTTGCTAACCCTCTGCTAGAACGAGCTCATCTTGCATTAGCTGTCTTTGCCTTAAAGAACATGAATGAATCATACTCAGAAAATGGAATTTCCCCCCAATACATGCAGTACAGTGGATTTTGTCCTTGAAAAAAATAAACGTTCTTCACTTTACAGATGAGTATAAATTTTGGGAAACTGTTCATGTTGTTGAATATAGCCTAAGCACTGCATAATTTTCTGGGAATGGCGAAGAATTTAGTGATACATTCAGGCATTATTCATTGTAGTGTCGCTTCAGTTCCGTTAAGTTTCTAATTAAATTTAGTTAAAGCGGAATGGCAACACCTTCTAGTCTCCGCAAAAGAACGAAGAAAACAAACTTCGGGTTTCTGTCACGCGATTCTACTTGATGTAAAATGTAAATAAATCTTATGAATAAGAATCTATAACTTCGTAAGGAATAAAATATTGGTTCCATTGGAGTCAGAGAAGTGTTATTTTCCTACATTTGCACACCAGACACTTCACTGGTGTATCCCGGCGTGATCGAATTCTACAATGGCTGACGAAGGCGAAACCGAAATTAAAGCAACAACTGCATCTGTCGCCAAGGTAAGCGTTAAAGTTCCTCCTTTTTGGAAGCCAGATCCTAAAATATGGTTTATTCAACTAGAAGCACAATTTAGAAATGCAAAAATTAGTGCAGATCAAACAAAATATGATTATGTTATAAGTTCCATTGAACCCGATATTTTGTCACAGGTATCTGATATTTTGCTAAGTCCACCACAAGATAATAAATATGAGGCAATTAAAAATAGACTAATTTCATTATATGCTGATTCAGAGACTCAAAAAACCCAAAAATTACTGAGTGAGTTAGAACTGGGTGACAAAAAGCCATCTCAATTACTGTGTGAGATGCGTAATTTGGCTGGCGATAAAGTAACAGATACTTTCCTAAAAACATTGTGGCTACAACGTTTACCCGTTAATATGCGTAGCATTATATCTGTTAGTAGTGAAGATTTGTCAAAAGTGGCTACAATGGCCGATAAGATTTGGGAATTAAACCCTGTTACTCCCCAAATAGCTGCTGCATCATCCATAACGGTAAAAACGGAAGTGATTGAAAGTTTACAAAAACAGGTTAGTGAACTTAGCTTACAAGTTTCTGCTTTAAACAAGCAACGCCACAGTCGTCCCTATTGTCGTAACCGATCCAAATCACGAGATAGGAGTTACAGTGGTAACAGATCTAGTGATATTTGTTACTATCATAAAAAATTCGGTGATAAGTCATTTAAGTGTAAACAACCCTGCAACTACTCATCAACATCACAGACAAATAGTCCGGAAAACCAGCTCCCCGTCTCTCATTGACGACGGAGGGACAAGGGGTGCAGCTGAGTCGTCTTTTCATCAGCGACAAAGAATCGGCTACCCAATTTTTAATAGATACTGGGGCAGAAATTTCTGTCATTCCTCCCTTACCTGCAGATAAAAAAAATCTCAAAATTAGAACTCTTTGCTGCAAATGGTACGAAAATTAAAACATATGGCCAAAAATTACTCAAGCTTGATCTTGGACTCAGACGATCATTCACATGGCCTTTTGTAATTGCGGACGTAAACAAACCGATAATAGGCATGGATTTTCTTGCAAATTTTAACCTTTTGGTAGATTCTAAAAATCGCAAGTTGATTGATGGTACTACATTCTTAACAACCAATGGAACTCCTTGTTTTCAAAATAACAATAATAATATTCCGATTTTAAATGCCGTAAATGATCCATATAAACGTATCATTAACGATTTTCCGGATTTGTTAAAACTGAATGTAGTTAATAATAAAGTTAAAAATCATAACATCGAACATTATATCGAAACCAGAGGTCCACCAGTTTTCGCTAAAGCCAGGAGACTATCAGCTGAGAAACTTAAAGCGGCTAAAAAGGAGTTTGAATTTATGCTCCAAATGGGTTTATGCAGGCCATCCAAAAGTAACTGGTCGAGCCCACTACATCTCGCTATGAAGAAATCAGGTGATTGGAGACCTTGTGGAGACTATCGAGCGTTAAACAACGTCACGATTCCTGATAGATACCCTCTCCCATTTTTAACAGATTGCAGTTCCATTTTAGCTGGAAAAAGAGTTTTCTCATCCATAGACCTCATTAGAGCGTACCAACAAATTCCAGTTCGCGAAGAAGATATACCGAAAACGGCCATTCTCACTCCCTTTGGCTTATTCGAGTTCCCATTCATGACGTTCGGCCTACGAAATGCGGCCCAAACGTTCCAACGTTTCATGAACAGTGTGTTGAATGGACTAGAATTCGTGTTTTGCTATTTGGATGACATTCTAATAGCCTCTCCAGATGAAGAAACTCACCGAAAACATCTACGAGCAGTCCTCGAGAGACTAAACGAATATGGCCTGTGTATTAATGCGGCAAAGTGTAAATTTGGTCAAAAACAAAACTTGCATTCCTGGGATACGAAGTGTCAGCTGAAGGACTTAAACCTCTTTCAACGAAAGTTGATGCCATCAAAAATTTCCCAGAACCAAAGTCATTTACTAGTTTAAGACGATTTTTAGGTATGGTGAATTTTTATCACAGATTCATACCAAATTGTGTGCGAAATTGCAACAACCTTTAACAACATTGCTCAGT